AAATGCGGTTGGCATGTGTCTGAGGGTCCTCTAAGCTGAAGCCAGAGGACAGGAGTGCTGTCTCATACAGCAAGATGACAAGATCCTTCACAGACTTGTCATTCTTATCAGCCTCTGCTTTCTGCCTCAGTGTTTCGATGATGGAATGATCAGGATTAATCTCCAGGTGTTTCTTTGCTGCCATGTATCCCATTGTGGAGTTGTCCCTTAATGCCTGAGCTTTCATGATCCTCTCCATGTTGGCAGTCCAGCCATATGTACTTGTTACAATGCAGCATGGAGAAGTAACTAAACGATTGGACACAACAACCTGCAGAGGGAATACAAAGCCAAGTCTGCAATTTAAGCATTTCAACAAGTACTACTGACTTACCCTAAATTCATTTTAGACTGACTTTTATGCACAGGTAAACCAAGTACTACTTTTACCTTTTCTACTTTCTTTTCAAGGATATCTTTCATTATCTTGCAAAGATTTTCAAACTTTGCTTTCTTCTCCTCCTGTTTCTTTTTCTCTTCCTCATCCTCTGGAAGCTCCAGACCCTCTTTTGTTACAGAAACCAGGGTCTTGCCTTCAAATTCCTTCAGCTGCTGCACACAGTACTCATCAATAGGCTCAATCATGTAGATCACTTCCAGCCCATGTTTGCGGAGACGCTCCACAAAAGCGGAGTTGGCCACCTGATCCTTTGTTTCACCTGCAACAAACACCACCAGAGATGAACCCCGGCACTAACAGCAGCTTGTTCAGTTTCTGCAGAGCCTATACAACAGCTGTGCCACGTCCCAACCACAGGCAAAGAAAAGGGCACCAACAGCCCCAAGGGCACTCAAGCTGTTTAAACTGACACTCCAGCATTTAATACTCTTAACTGCTTTGGAAATACTCTTTAACTGCTAATTTCTACTTCCTGGAATGCCAAGTAAAAAACGCTTCCCATTCCTGCCAAGCAAGGGAACTGGGAACCCTGTAACAGCAAGGTAAACCTACACATGGTGTTGGTCTTTCTGACCATTTCAGGTCCCAACTCACCAGTAATGTAGTAGACATGTTTCTGGTTTTCCTTCATCCGAGTGCAGTAATCCTTCAGAGAAACCATCTCATCACCAGAGGCAGATGTGTAGTACCTCAGCAATTCTGAGAGCTTCTTGCGGTTCTGCGAGTCCTCGTGGATGCCAAGCTACAAAAAGCAGTAAGAAAAATCACTAAGAGATTCCTTCAGGTAAATACTCAGCTGTGGTAGTTTAGTAGCTCAGGTACAACTGCAAGTATCAGCACTGTTCAGCAGAAAGGCTACAAACCTTGATGTTCTTGGAGAACTGCTCATAGAACTTCTTGTAGTTCTCCTTGTCTTCAGCCAGCTCAGTGAAAAGTTCCAAGCACTTCTTCACCAAGTTCTTCCGGATCACTTTCAGGATCTTGCTTTGTTGCAGCATTTCACGAGAAATATTCAGAGGTAAGTCCTCAGAGTCTACCACACCTCTCATGAAATCTGCAATACAACAGAACTACCTTTGTTAGTCTCCAACAAGTATTACCAGCCACTCTATCTACATGTGCCTCTGCCCATTAGAAACTATCACTTTGTTTCTACACAACTCCAATAAACATGAACTAAGCAACACTTTTAACTGCTCAACAGCTGTTCAGAACTGCTATCTTCTGCCTCCCAAATTTCTTTACATACAAAAGGAAACTACAGAATAGCTAAGCAGTCCTTCTAACTTTTCAGGAAACACTTAGCACAGAATTATACTCACTCAGGTACTCAGGGATCAGTTCCTCACAGTTGTCCATAATGAAAACTCTGCGCACATACAGTTTGATATTGTTCTTCTTCTTCCTGTTTTCAAACAGATCAAAGGGTGCACGCCGTGGGACAAACAGGAGAGCTCTGAATTCCAGCTGCCCTTCCACAGAGAAGTGCTGTGAGAAAACAAGACGTTTGTTTTAGTCAGTTTGTCCGGTTCCAGTGATAACAACTTAACAGCTCCTCAAATGCGGAACACGAACTGCAACCCATGGGAGATCACATTACAGAGCAGCTGAGACACTGGTGAGGAACAAGCACTTTCCTCAGACAGACACTCTGAATTAGTGTTATGAGGTCTGCAGACCAATTCAGAACACATTCAAGCTCCTTACACAGTATACTGAGAATTAGAGAGCAAATGTGCTCTTATAGCACTTCCCATCATCAAACAAAGGCACAAAACCTTTTCGATGACAAATTACAAATCTGATCTATTTATCTAGTTTCAAGTTCAATTAGACACGGTGACTAAACTATTCAAATGGGAAGGCATCTGCACTTCCTGACTGCAGGCTCAATCCAGACTGTGAACACCAAATGCACAATGGATCAGTTTAGCAGCATGTTAAGCAACCTTCCAGCTGCAGCGCTATGTTATAATTTATATATATTATATATACAGATACAGCAACTGTAGCTGTTTCTCAAGAGAAAAACTTACTTTGACAGCCAGGTGGTCTTCCCAGTCATTAGTCAGACTCTTGTAGAATTCTCCATATTCCTCATTGGTTATGTCATCCGGATTTCTGGTCCAAATGGGCTTGGTCTTGTTGAGCTCTTCCTGATCAATGTACTTCTCCTTAATCTTCTTCTTTTTCTTCTTATCTCCATCCTTCTTCTCCTCCTCTTCATCAGAGCCAACATCCTCAATTTCTGGTTTATCTTCTGTCTTTTCCTCCTTCTCTTCTTTTTCCTCTTCCTTTTCCTCAGCCTCATCATCACTCACCTCCTTATCACGCTCCTTCTCCACCTACAAAACAGCATCAGTACTTGAATTGCAAAAGCTGTAAATGTAGTAACTAACAGTTCTGAAGTACCCCTTGCAGCCTCACGAAGCCAGAGAACTTCAAGAACGCGGTGTCAAGCTCTCCCTCCTACACTCCAAGGACTCTCACTCTGGGGCTGACTCAAGTGGTGGTGTTTCCACGTGCTATGAGCCAAGTTCTTACTGCTCAGTTTCATTACACTGAATGACTCCTAACAACACACCTGGAGTAACTGTTTGGATACTACTGGCTTAGAAAATGTTGGTGTTTTTAACAGCCCTGTGAAACACAATTTTAAGTAACACAACATTTCCCCACAGCTTCCTCTATGTAGCATCTAAGAGATGCTAACTAAACTAACCAAATAAAGACTGACTGCTCCTTACGTGAACTCCCACTTGCTAAAGTGACAATACCGATTTAGCACTTCAAGCAAGGTACGTACAAAGAGTGTAATGGGGTAGCCAATGAACTGAGAGTGCTTCTTCACGATTTCCTTGATGCGCCGCTCTTCCAGGTACTCAGTTTGATCCTCTTTAAGATGCAGGATGACTTTTGTTCCACGGCCCAGAGGTTCACCTAGAATGGAGTTTACATGTTTTACTTTGCTATAGCAAAGCAGATTTAATCATTAACTCTTGAAGAGACACACTGCTCTACCAGCCATTTTTTCACCTCAGCAAAATTAAGCTTCTATGTATATGAACACCCTAGGTTATGCTTTCTCAAGTTTACTGCACTTATTTCAAACAAGCTTCAGAAGATGTCTACTAGTCTGTTCAGAGCCTTTAAAGACTCTGCATAAAAAGTTGTTGAGGTGTTACAAGTACTCTTCCATGTGTGAACTTTGAAAACTTAATGCACCATTTACCTGGGCATTCCCTACATATCAGATTATGCCAACAGAAATTACAAGATATGACCTGGATGTACCTATGCCTGATATGGCACATTACTTGTACTAATTCCTTTTATCTCGTGTCTTTTCCAAGGCAGACTATGCACCATTGCCAAACATCTTTAAAAGATGAACACTAAACACTCACCATTATCCAGTCTGACAGTGAAGGACCCTCCAGCAGAGGACTCCCAAGCGTACTGCTCATCATCGTTGTGCTTGGTGATCACTGTCACCTTTTCAGCAACCAGGTAGGCGGAGTAGAAGCCAACACCGAACTGACCAATCATGGAGATATCGGCCCCTGCCTGCAGGGCTTCCATGAAAGCCTTGGTGCCAGACTTGGCAATGGTACCAAGGTTGTTGACCAGGTCAGCTTTGGTCATCCCAATGCCAGTATCCACAATGGTTAGAGTGCGATCATGCTTGTTTGGAATCAGGTTAATTTTCAGCTCTTTCCCAGAATCCAGCTTGCTTGGGTCAGTCAAGCTTTCATACCTTATCTTATCCAGAGCCTGTAAGAGAAGTAACATGCTTTAACATTCCCTGACTAATCCTAGAGAATTTCAGTAAGTGTTAGAATTCACCAGAATATTTTTGGTACTTACATCTGAGGAATTGGAGATCAGCTCACGGAGGAAGATTTCCTTGTTGGAGTAGAAAGTGTTGATGATCAGAGACATCAACTGAGCAATCTCAGCCTGAAAGGCGAAGGTCTCCACCTCCTCCTCCATTGGTTGGTCCTGAGTTTGCACAGCTTCCGGCATCTGTGAAAGGAGAGGCAGGAGTTGAAATTCCATCCGGAACAGCTTACTTAACATATCCTCTTACAGGCAGCGACAATGGCATTCTGAGATCAAGTTTGTTAACTGCGTAGTTTCAGCACCAGAGAAACAAATACAAAAAAGCCCTTCCCAGATGTTATTTACAGGCAGTAACCATTCAGAAGTTTTAAGGAATGCAGAAAACAGATGACAGGACTTTTACTATAGGCTTGCTTTACACTCGTTTTACCCTGCAGCACCTAGGGTAAGACAAAACTGTTCCCTTAATTTAGCGATTCATATACGACTTTAATTTTCCTGTTTCATAACAACACCCAAAATCTTTATTTGGACTATTTCTCTCTTAGCCACATCCCCCTATTCCTTTGCATACACAGCTATCCCCACCTCTGATTTAGACACCAACACTGCTCAGCTTCTCCGGACAAACATTTGCGTTACTAAATCCTCGTCCTTCACCGGGCATAGCCGCCCCCCTGCCCCCCTTGCGGGGGCCAAACCCCAGGGCCGGCGGACTTCACCCGGGAGGTCTGTCCCCCGGCCCCGCTCCAACCCGGCACAGCCAAGGGCACCGAGCGCCGCCGGGACCGCGCCCCGAGCGCGCCGCAGCGCCCCCTGCCGGCGCCCCCCCCAGCGCTGCGGAGCGCAGCAGCCCCGAACCCGCTCCTGGCCTCATCTCCGTGCCCCCGCTCCTACCCGCCTGTCCCTTCACGCCGCTTTCTCCCCATCCCCCTTTCTTTCCCTCCTCCATCTCGCTGTTCTCCCGCTCCTTCCTGCCGCCCCCACTCTCGGCCCCCCCCTTCCCTCCTGGCACTCCGCTCCTTTCCTCTAGCCCCCGTTCCGTTCTTCCTCTGCCATCCATTTCTTCCCCAATCGCCGCCACGCTTTTTCTCCTGCTCCTGACTCCATTCCCCCCTCCTTCCCCCGTGTCGCCCCCGCCGCTTTCCCGGTCCGGCGCTACCCCCCACCCCATCCTGCACTCTCATGGCTGGGGGCCCATTCATTGAGAGCGAATCTCTCCGGCCACCGGTGCCTCCGCACCGAAGCGTGCTCGGCTCAGCCTCCCACAGCCCTCCCGCGCACGCTGCGAGGCGGAGGGGGCGCTGCAGCGGCACCCCGGGACACGAACAGCATTCCCTGACCGCCCTCTGCGGCCCCCGCTCCGCTGCCATACCGGAGCCCCCCAAGGAGCTGCTCGGTTTCCCCACCTCCACCGCCATTCCTTCCAGAACGCAAATTTAATAAGCTGGGATCAGAATCATCACTCGCAATCTCCCTTTCAGCCATAGTCAAACTGTAAGCCCAAATCACCTTTTCCAGGATCTAAAGAACCACAGAGAAAAGCGGGACCTGCGCCACGCGGCTCCTACAGCACACCCCACCCCCCCTCCCCACGCAACTCCGAACGCGAGCCCCGCGCCCCCAACCACCGACCCCGGCGCCCGGCCAGAAAACACTCCCCGCGCCCATCCACCGCCCTGCTGCCCCCACCGCTCACCTTGGCAGGGGGATGGGGCGCTGCTCTCCTCACTGCCGCTATGACACAACCCGCACGCTCCGCTGTAGCCTCTCTAGTGCGCGCTCCCCACAGCCCGCCCGATTTATATACGGCGGGATCCGCCTCCTTCCAGAACCATCGGGAACCTTCACCGCCGGCGCGGGGGGGCGCGGGGAGGGGGCCGCGAGGCGGGGGCGGAACAAACCGGCCGAGGGGCGGGGCCGTGCCGCTAGCAGCCAATCGCAGCGGTCCGCGACAGGCGCCGCGGGGCCGGCGGCTGAATGGGCGCGAGCGCGCGCGCTCCCCGCGCCCCGCCCCTCTGAGCCCCCAGCGATTGGCTCGGCCGGGAATCCGGGGGGAGGGGGAAGCAGAAAGGAGGTGGGCGCATGCGCAGGAGCCGCGCGGGGCGGTGCTGAAGGGGCGGGGCCCGGGGCGGTTGAGCGAGTGCCGGATGACGTCACTCGCTGCCGAGCCCCGCTCCGAACGTCCTAGAAGGGGGCGGGGCCGGGGTCGGGGTCTCTTCCCCCCCCCACCCCGCTGAGCGATCGGGAACGGCCTGGAAAACTCGGGGTGCTCCCCAGCTCCTGCCGGGAACGGCCCGGGACTGGAGTGTGGGGCTGCGGTTACCCTCTCTGTGTCCCCCTGCTGAACCCCTGTCTCTGCTGTGTGGCCGGTTCGCCGGCGTGCGGCTGTGCGGGAGTGCGGGGTGCAGGTGTGTGAGGGTGGGAGAGCGCGGGGTGCAGGTGTGTGAGGGTGTTCAGGTGTGTGGGGTGCAGGTGTCTGAGGGTGGGAGAGTGCGGGGTGCTCAGGTGTGCGGGGTGCGGGTGTGTGAGTGTGGGAGTGCAGGGTGCGGGTGTGTGAGGGTGGGAGAGTGCAGGATGCGGGTGTGCAAGGGTGCTCAGGTGTGCGGGGTGCAGCACTGTGTGAGGGTGTGCGGGCAGCCGCTGCTTTCCCCTCGGCCGGGACGAGCGGCTGCGGGAGGGCGGCACCGCTGTCCCTGCCCTGCTCGCCGGGCAGGATCCGGCCGCGCTGCCGGGCGTAGCCGGGTGAATCACAGCTTAGGGATGCTGTGGTAACGCGTTTCGCCTGCTCAGGGAAAGCAACACCGGTTCTCACGCAGCAGGTATAAGTCTGCGAGTTAACAAAATTCTGCCTCTCGGTCTGTGCGCTTGCACAGGGTAAAAAGAGCCGTGGGACCGAAGCCAAGCAGCTCAGCAGACCTACATAGCTATGCAGTTACTTAAGGATTTAAGTGCTAATAGTAGACATGAGGCGTAGGCCAGTGCTGTTGGGTTTGTAACAGCCCAAAGCCTGAAACCCGCTGGGGTTCTCAGCCTGAGCATGGCCTTTGCCAGTTCATCTGGAAAATCTCGGTTGATGTTCAAAGGGCACCGCAAGAGACACCTTTGTACATACATTTACATATCCTGCATAAAGGCTTTGATATGTACACGTCTCGTTATACCAAGCAGCTCTGTGATTGCAGCCTTTAGCAAGGCGGGTATTTTTATATCCTGAATGACCTGATTGGGAGCAGGGAGTTAAATGCAGATCTTCCACATCTCAGGAGAATGATCTGCATCCCATGTGTTCCAGACCAGACTTCTAAAACTTTCCTCTTGGAGCTGATCCATTTTTGAGGATATAAATACCCAGAGAAGCTACATGTTAAAATTATGCACTGATGTAAGCATGAATTTAGACAAATCTCCTTGCTCTAAAGAATGGCTATTCATTTGAGGAATAAAAAGAATGTTATTTTGGTTGCAAAAACTCATCTCAGGTGCAACTTCTTTCCATTTTCTTTTGGCTCTTAGATGTGCCCCAGACTTCTATCCAGTTTAACATGTGTCTGACTTTGAGGAATTGAAGTTTAAGTTGCCTAACCTGCCCTTCTCCAAGTTGAGCAACTGAAATAGACTTGGTAGCATGAATTAATATTCCAATACTTAGATCCATTAACACATTTAATCAAAAATCCTCATGCTGTATTTCATGTACTTTGCATTGGTTAGCCTGCAGTTTTAACCCAGACAAGCAAATCTGATTGAATTGGAGTCCACTGGCTTGATTTTGTTGTAGCATTATGTTTTTCAGAGTTTTCAGTATTCTGACAAGAAGATACATTAAGTCCACATGTAAAACATGTAGGAACACCAAAGAATTAAAATTGCTGCTTGTCTTGCTACAGTTTCTGCAGTATCTGGATCAGTACATGCATTGGTGCAATGTCTTAAAGGACTTTGCTCTTCTCAGTCCTGGTGCTCCAGCTCTGACCCAAGCAATTGGCCAAAATACAGGATCCTGCAGGTTATTTAATTAGGTGGAAAAATTAATCGTGGTGTCAACAACATAAAAGGGTGTGTAAATGAGCTGCTGCTCAGCCCACAGGAGAAATCAGACTGTAAGGGTGAGGTTATTTGCTCACCATTCTAAGCCACTGAAAAAGTTGGATTTCAGCCAGCGCTCAGGCTTGAGAGTTCTGCACTTACGTCTGGGTCACCTTCTTGGTGCTTACTTTGGCTGGTTGTTTTCTGTACTGTCTTCAGGTTGGATTTTGGGTGCTTCTCAATGCATTTCTCTCCCTTTCCCTCAAACACGTATGCCTGTATGAAGTGCCTCTGCACCAAAATGCTCTCCTGAGTTCCTTTCTTTGCACAGTGACTGATTTCAGTGATCCGACAGCTGCTTTGGTTGTCTGCTTCCATAAAGCAGCCTAATGGCTCTTTACCACTGCCCTAATAAAGTGTGACAGTTACACTCAGGCATAATATGTAACTTTCATGTTTTTTCTTAAAAAATAGTTGTGGTATAGTATAAACACTACAGGATGTGCCTTTTAGGCTGAAACCCTCTTACATTCAGATTCCATTGACGGAAATGCTTTCTAACGTGTATTTGCACCAAAGTAACTTCTGTACTTCAGAGAACAGCTAAAGCATTGCAATATATGGAAATATAGTCCAAGCATTTTATCCAGCAATATCCTACTAAATTTGCTTGTGTGTGCTCCTTTTGAGGTGTCTAGAATTTTAAGGGTGCCACTTTTATAATAATATTCAAGATGTTTAATAAAGTATTTTCCTTTATAATCTCTCGATTAATGTGAGTCCAGTGATTCAGACTTATGTCTGAATATGTCATTTCAAGCTTGGGAAGACATGGAAGGTTTTGCATATGTCTGCAGGATCACACGCCTTTATAGTGTCTAATCTCCAGTCACATCATTCTGTTTCCTCTTTTGTGGTTGTGTTATTCAGCTTTCAAAAGCAGACTGATTTCTTTTGTCAAAGTTGTTTGACAAGTGCACTGGCAGAATGTAATCTCATACCAAACCATCTAAGTTTTCCCAGCTCTGCTTAATCCAAGTTCCTCTGTGTCTGTGGAAAACACATATTTTCTTCATGACTTGTGAATAACCTGTGTTCTTTTTGTTCTGTTATGCAGTGAGGGCTAGCAAATATAGACATTTTGTTCCTATGGTTACTCTGTTTTAACTGATCCCAGTTTTGTGTTGCTTCACTTTTCGGCAAGAAAAAAAAAAGGACTGGTTTCTAACTTGGTTCATGTCAGAGTTAATTTTGGAGGAAATTCTGCGCAAGGTAGATCCATTTTTTCAACCAAGAGATTGTGCTGGTTTTCATTGGGGGAGAGTTAATTTTCTTCACAGCAGCCAGCATGGAGTTATGTTTTGGATTTGTGCTGCAAACAATGTTGATAACCCATAGATGTTTATGTTATTGCTGAGCAGTGTTTGGACCTCATCAAGGCCTTTTCTGCTCCTCACACTGACCCCCATCAAGGAGGCTGGGGGGCACAAGGAGCTGTGAGGGGACACAGCTGGGACAGCTCAGCCCGACTCACCAACAGGACACTCCTTACCAGAAAGTCTCCGATGTGCATTTCCTGGTTTCCTAAGGATTAGTCCCATGCTTGGTCTCTGTATACGTTTGCATCCTCATAGAATCTTTAGTTACACAATTTCATAGAACTCCTTGCTATGTGAAAGTTATAATATTTAAAAAGAACAAAGTAAAAGCTGCAAGGAAGGTATTTAGAGTTCAAAGTGTTGAAATAACACACAGGAAAACTGGGGTATATTCTTAATTCAATCAAAGGTTTTTTCTGTGTTGCTGAAGATTTTTTTGGTTTTTTATAAGCCACAAATAAATTAAAAAACGTTTGCATAGAGAATTTGAATTCCAGCATTTAACTTAACTTCTGAGTGTTTGGTGTAGTAGCCTTAATGCTTTTATAGCATTGCTTTAAAATTAATTTTGTTTGAGTTCTGAGTCAGTTTTGCCATGTTATCTCAGTACTTCAGGGTTTACTGAAGGAAAACAAAACAGCACCAACTGAAACTGCTTAACATTATATTTCAGAAGAATGATGTAAGTATAAAGATGTGGTAATAGATGTCTAGTTTGCTTTAACACATGGAATTATGCATGTAAAATCTGTGTTATCATAATGAA